TAGAAGACTGGTAAATGAGGAGCGGTGTATTGTGGCATCAGAAGTACGCCATGGGAATGGGTTCAAGAAAAAAGAATCACTAGGCGGAGAGGTTATGATAATGCAAGCACAGACAAAGTGCGATGAGTTGGCAATAGAGATCTCAATCATGTTAAATATGTCAAACAATAAAGTATACGGGTGACAAGCGATGTCTGCGTGACCGGCTCGACGTTGGCCAATTCACTTTCACGTCCAACAAATTGTGACCTTCCGTAGTTCGTCACTTTAGGTCGAAGAACTACCTGTGACTAGAGAGTGCAGCTTTTTTAATCCTTATCCTATCAATCGGAAAACAAAGTGAAGCGGAAAATCGCCTCCTTAAGAAGCACCACCAGGTGAGAGTTGAATCAATTAAATATAGGGAAATGCAGCATCCTGCGTCTCATTTAATCCGTCTGATGCAGTTTAGGTAATCAAAAACCGTGTCTTCAGGATGGAGGCTTTGTTTGGTTTTAGCACTGACACAAAAGTTTACTAACGCGTTCCGTTTCACAAGGATCCGCGGTCTGTGTACATTTGCAAACCCACCTGATGTACAATACAATCACAAGATTCACCACTGCTATCACGTGAACTAGACGCTGAAGTCTGTGAACTGGCCGAGTCCACCACGGTTGCGTGTGACTCGGAGGCGGAACGCGGCGAACGTTTGACGTCCTTGGTTCCGTTCACCGAGGGAATAGGATGATGATCAGGGAGGAGTGGCAAACGCTTCAGATCGTCCGAACCGTTTGAATCATCTGACAGACGATCCGGACCAAGATGTCGACGTTTGGCCGGAAGACAAGGTTCACTGGCCGTTTCTGTTGCCAACAATGATGGCAGTGGTGGCGAGGGGGAGGAATGAAGGTAATGGTAATATTTATATGGAAACAAAAGATTATTGATTACCAATGCGTAGTTAAGAAAGTCAGAAAGCGAACGATTAAGTAAAACCGCTCAGGGTTATGGTAAGATATGACAAGTCAACAGACGAATAAATATGTTATTGGTTCGATGAATAATTCGACCGTAACGACAAACAGGGAGACATTTTTTCCACACTGTTTCTAACCAGTGCAGTCGCACACCCTCTGTGCATGGGTAAGAAACACACACTTTGGCTGTTATTTCAAGAATGCCTTCGTGTCGACGGTCTGTATAATTTGTATCATTATTGTGACCACTATTGGCAAAGCTGAACGAGCCAGATAATTAAACGCGATCAGTGACAGACCATTTGCACTGACGTTTTCGAATTCCCTTATCATTAGATTAGCTACATTTCGCAAGAAAGTACACAGTGAAACAGCAACATCAGCATCACCTTGAAGCGAAATATAATGAAGTGAACTTCTGTGATCGCTGCCAAGCTCATATTGCATAAAAGGCAAGTGGGAGTGTGCAAAGTGAACAAGACTGGACCCACTTTGAGGGAAGAGAAAAGTGAACCTCTATGATCAACGCATAGGATACATTTTTTCAAGCATTCTGCTGTCGATTCGCTGCCATATCCTTTACCGTCTCAAGCCAACCAGCTGAGGAATCCTTTGGAACTCATCCCGGAAGATGAGGAATAAGGGACTCCACCTAACCGCTCTGCACATTTCTTTATACTTCATCTCCCGGTCATCTGTTGGCCAGCACGGAGCAGTGACTGGGAATAAGGCGCAGTGTGGTGGGCAATCGTTACACATGTACAATACGGGGTCTAACCAGCGAAACCTATCCATATGAATAAAATGTGATAGAGAATTTTGCCTCAACGAATTTCCAGACCTGTGACGAGTTACCTCGAAGTTACTAACGCGCTCACTCTATCCCACCTGGGCCAGACTGCGTAAGCATCGATTGTCGAAAATCTCCAACCGATGGATGTCTACTAGCTCTGCTCATCTAAGTCCAGTGTGTGCAAAACAAATCACGGTACAAAACGTTTTATAAAAGACATTAGTCCAGTTGGGCGAAACACTGCCACGGTTGCCCAGACCGGAGCAAGGAAGAACATACTGAGCTGCCTCGGTGAATCGGAAATTGAAGTCGTCGGCCGAATAAGACGAACGGAATAAAGAATGTATGACATGAATCCAGAAAACAGTATCATCACCGTCAGCTTCCAAACATTGATCCTCAGACTAATGGTTCTATTTATTCAATGTGCCCCAAAACCATGAATCTCGAAAGACTCCTTGCATATTCTAAACACGTCCATCGATCGCAGTGAGCACGGAGCAGAACAAAATGCGTATCCAGCACCAAAGCAAAATCACAACGCTCACAAGCAGAAGTTGTGTATTACAGTTGTCGAAGTGGATGATTTAGCTGCATTGGTAAACTTGAATCGAACAGGACAGGCACAAACGCATTCCCGTATCTCACCGAATGGAACACAAGAAAAAAAATGGCAGCTTATACTCACCACTCAGCGGCACGTGTTCACCGACCAGATGGCCATGAATCAAAGTCAGTAAGGTAATGAGGAATTCGTGCGCATCTCGCTGCTCGTAGCCGGCCAAATGGCTAGCATGGAGCCAGATCGCGTACAGTAGATTGCTCGGAACGAAGGGGGTCAGAACCGGACTGTAAATCTGTTTGGGGGACAAGAATGGGGGGAAGAGAATGAAAGCATGACAATACGGCGCGAAAATACAGCCTACAGATAGATATTCGGAAAATTTGTTGCAACAATCTGACAGAAACGTAGCTTGACTGTCCTAATCATGCAAAGAATTATGAATCTGACATTCTCTCACTAATTTATGACTGCTGTTTCATGGCACTATAATGGAGAAATGATAAAGTTAGTAGAGAGTGAAATCATTGGTAAACTCTTCACTTTGACAAAACTGGGGGAGAGTAGGTGCACAAATGCACGCATGTCACTGTGATGATCGTACACCGAAAGACAATGAAGTGAACTTTACTAATCACGACCAACACCACAGTGTACACGAAGTGCACAAAATGACAGTGACCCATAATGCTCGTCTTCCATCGGCTAAAAGCGGTGTCTATGATTTAGTCGACCGCTGCCCCCCCCCCCGCCTTCCCGCCTATTGAAAGATGTCCCAGAGAAATTTATCTCAATAATGCGATACAGCCGAGGCTGTAATCGAGCTTTTGTCTGTTCTTCGTCGTCGAGTTCATCATTGCAAACGATGCTTGTCAGGGTTGTTCTCTGTCTTCGTTTCTTCAACGCTGTAACACAATTCTGGAAAAAGGTCTGTCCTCATGAGAGGATAGTGACATTAATAATGCTCCCAAACGGCAGCTTATCTCATCTAACGTACGCAGATATTGTACTGCCAAGTGAAGATCCAAGTAAATTTTCAAGCTTTCCTTGAGAGGTAGTGTCCCGCATGCGACTTATACCTTTGAGGTTCGAAATGTTACAGAACCGGGTAGGTCTAGCACCCAAACTCACCATAACTGGAGACCAATAGAGAAAGTGGACAATTTTTCATATTAGTACAGCTGCGTTTCACCTGGCAGACGAATTTCGGAAGAAGGGTCCGTATGCAGGCAGAAGGTTCACTTGATGTCTGCCAACTCGAGACACTTCTGGTGTTGTCGCAATAGTCGGCTGCCTGTTAAGAGTCAAGTGTACGTATCAGCCAACTGGCTTGTGCTGTATGGCG